ATGATGATGATGCATGATGATGATGCATGATGATGCATGATGATGATACATGATGATGATACATGATGATGATACATGATGATGATAATGATAATGGTTTGATTGTTTCATATGTATCCATTGATTTATTACTTTCTGCAATAAGGTTTGTAACGGCGGGAACTTACCAACCCAGCTTACTCCAGCATCAGAGGTATAAAAGCAGCTGGTTCTGGCCCTGCATACAAAAGGAAAGATGAAACTAAATATGGAACTTAGGCAATGTTAGTGATAGCTTACATATTAATAATCTGTAAATACGTCCAGCTATATATCCAACATGGCGGATATTCATGACAAGTAATCTGTTCAGCTTTATTCCTTACGTGTTTTCGGAGCAGACAAAAAGTGTTTTGCTTTTGGGTATCAACAAGAATCCTCGCTTGTAATATTCTGCAGGAAGAAATAATAGAGGCGTAAGCCAATTGATACCGACGCGGTGCGGTGCGATGGGAACGTTGCGCTATAGGTCTCTAATTTCTCATATCATACCTGGAAGTGGCGAAGGTTCTTGCRCTGGCGATTCCCTTGAAGGACCTAACATAGTAAAAGGTTATTTAAATATGCTGGTTTTTACTTAAGCAATATCGGAGTTCGACCTTTTCGACCTTTATATTTAAAGGTACCTTCTTTTCCCACCACACAAATATTACGCAATGAAACGCCCCCCGTTAGTTTTTAAGTTCATGCAGTGTATACTCTTAGGCCAATTCAGTTGGATGTTTGACGTTTATAGTCTAAATACATTCAAGAAAGGTTTTCATTTTCTCTTGCTAAGAGTCATTTTGTTCATACATGGACTGTATAGCGGTTGTCATAGGCGCCTTCGCAGTTCGACCCCCTTTTTTGTTCGACCCCGATAAGCTGAGCCACTGCTGTATTTGTGGTAGTGAATAGCGATAACATAGCGATAACAAGTTATACCTGGGTTTTGATAGTAGCAACAGACACCCGCTTTTCTGCTGAGCACCGTCAAGCCATCATGTCCGTAATACGTAACCTCAGCAACAGACGTAGCTTGGATGTCTCCTGGAGGCATTATATTCAAGGGATCGAGGGTGGCAAGGTACGAAAAACTCAACTCTTCTTTGAAACGAAGTTCTTTAATATCCTTCAAGAAGAATCAAGAGACATGAATTGGATTCAYTATATCAGATAAACTGCAGATCTATTTCTTTAGCAGTAGCAGGAGCGGCAGCAGGAGCGGCAGCAGRAGCGGCAGCAGGAGCGGCAGCAGGAGCGGCAGCAGGAGCGGCAGCAGGAGCGGCAGCAGGAGCGGTAGCAGGAGCGGTAGCGGTAGCGGTAGCGGGAGCGGTAGCAGTAGCAGTAGCAATAGCAGTAGCAGGAGCAGTAGCAGTAGCGGTAGCGGTAGCAGTAGCAGTAGCAGTAGCAGTACCTTCAGTTCTGGTCCTCCTGGTGTTTCATTATAAGTCATTCCGCTTGGGCTTTTGAAGATCTCTCTCCAGTATTTTACGTATATAGGTATCATGTGAAGAATCTTGACATTTTGTGCATGTTGCTCAGATAATGTAAGATCATGGGAGAGCGTTATGTTAAACTGAACATTGTCGCTGGAAAACAATAGAAAAAACTATATAAAAGGCTATCAAATAGTTGTAGAGTTTTGATAGCAAGTTGAATTACGAGAAAGAGTGAGAAAACGGAGTAGTTTCACCCTCATTATGAACGCTTTCCGGCAAAGAACAGAGAAGATTCTGCCATCAATGGCGCGCGAATCCAGAACGATTTCAAGGGGTTGGCTGTTAACTAGAAAGGCTATGCTTTATCCTTTATTATTTTTTAACCCTAAATGAGGGTGGCTAGCACTCCCTAACCCCCCTCCTCCTTCCACCCAATTTTGGATCCACCCTTTCACAATTGGACGTGCGCCTCGTGCGACTCTCACGCTTCTTTCGTGCTTAAGCAAGCTCCCGCGTGCATCCATGCCAGAACTACATATACGCACACTCAGCATTTACCATTGCTTGACTATATGAATACAAGAATAGAGCGTTTTCATTCACGTGACAAGGGGACCATATTGGTGTACAAAACAATAGAAGCTTTCTGAGCCTTATTACATAAAAATAAAGTTTAATTCCCGGAGAATAGAAAATGTATTGTTTTGGTACACCAACATGGCCGCTGTGACGTCACGTGAAAACGTTCTATGGAATCATAAATGGATTTAAACTCACTTTCTCCTTAAGTTTCCTTCGCAGCAAGACTGGGACGTGGAAGGTACGTAACACTTGGACTCCAGCTTCAAGACAGGCTTTGGGTCTGCTGACATGCAAACAGTGACAGCGGTCTCTCCAATCCACATCATGCGGCTTCCCCCTCTCACACCAACCGCTGGCCAGTATTTGGATCCATTGGTAACATTAGAATGATCATTCAAAATAACATTGAAGTTGAGAGAGATTTCATTTACTGAGGCGTTCGCGACTCCTACGATGCTCGTCACGGTTCCAAAATCGATCGTGCATCGGTCATACATTGTGTCGTTAACTGTTGACTTGCAGACCACGCGCTTGCTTTCAAGACTGGCTTTATTCATGATGTTTGCGCCAACTGTAGGGGAGGTGACTGATGTTATTGCCATTATAGGAGAAGAGCTGTTTACTGGCGCTATGAGCTGAGAAAAGAACGAGAATTTGATTCAGAATCAAGATAGGGAGAAGATAGAATGTGATATAATCTTACGAAAACGAAATTTGAAAGGGGGATGGAGTTTTTCTGCATTTGTTTGTGAAAATTAGAGTCGAAAATATGCATGAACAAGCCATACCATCCTTGGGTTTACTCTCGCCAAACACATTACCAGATTTTAGTCTTCTCTTACATATTAAAGATATATTGTCGCATCACCAGCTTAAATTCCACTCTAAAATAACAAATGTCTCTGACAATGAATTGTTTCAAGCACGACTTCACAATTGATTGCAAAAAAAGGTCATTCTTATGAATAACCAAGAATGGAAACAACCTGGATGGCATAAATATAAAGATAGATTTAAAACAAACCTCTACGAGAAGTGGTGTGTTCATCTTTCTCACCAGCACTTYGAATGCCAACTCGATTTCAGAGCCTACTTTGTAGCAGCTCAAGGGGTTTACGATGTTGAGTGTGATGATTGGCACTGCAGCTACAGCTGGTGGAACAGCTTTGTGTGTTGTAGTCATCTTGTTTTTATCAGCCAAATTTTGATAAGCGATCTGACAGAAAACATCGAGTTCAACTAATGGGTTTATGTTTTGTCGAACTTTCATGTTGAAGTTTCCTGTTATCTTTGTCCCTAGGGTTCAAGATACTAATCAGTTATGAAGGAAAGAATAAAATATTATGTGTTTTGTGGTTGTATCATCATTATGTATCATCATCAT